GGGGTGAGAGTCCAGGGCTCAGGTAGGGGGCAGCCAAAATTTTTTTTTGCTTGGGGGCGGCAAAAAACCTAGAGCCGGCCCTGCAGATGGATCCTTCAAACAAGGGATGGGGGGGCGGGGTTTGAAATCCCTGGGAACTGACTAGAGTGAGAAACCTGCTTAGGCCAAGATGGTTCCCCTAGGAAGACAAGGGAAAGCAGCCCCTTGCACTTCTGACTGAGAGGAGGTCGGCCATGGCTGGCAGGAAAAGGCTTGGCTGGAAATCAGCCTTGACCCAAGGCTGTAGCTTATGACGTCTCAGCCACGTAGTCACTTTTATTTGCTGGTCACTGTTTTATCTTTATCCCTTGTACTCGGGCTCACTTCAAACCTCCAGCGTTTGTCACTAAACGTGTTGTAAGTTTAATCCGCCCCCTGCCAGTGCTACGTTTGCCTTGACGGGCTCGTTACCTCCAGGGCCAGGAATAAGCGGCGCTTTTATCTTTATAAAGGAGCCACGCGGACCTTAATGCTCAGCGTGCTCCAGGAGAGGGCTGGGTGCTTCGGGGCAGGTAGTGTGGGGGAAATGCAGGACAGGTGTGTGTCTGTGTGCTGGGGTCTCCTAGGGTTGCCAACTTTCTAATCGCACAAAACTGAACATCCCTGCCCCATCCCTTCCCTGAGGCCCCGCCCCTTCTCATAGGCCCCACCCACTTGCTCCATTTCCCCCTCCCTCCGTCTGTCACTCTCCCCCACCCTCACTCACTTTCACCGGATTGGGGCAGGGAATTGGGGTGTGAGGGAGGGGGTGAGGGCTCTGGCTGGGGGTGCAAGCTCTGGGGTGGGGCCGGGGATGAGGGGCTTGGGGTGCAGGAGGGGCTCAGGGCTGGGGCAGGGGGTTGGGATGTGTGGGGGGCTACAGGGTGCAGGCTCCAGGAGAGAGTTTGGGTGTGGGAGGGGACTCCAGGTTGGGGAAGGGGGTTGGGGTGTGGGGTCCCAGCAGCGCTTACCACGGCTCCCAGGAAGTGGCCGCTAGGTCCCTGCAGCTCCTAGGCGCAGGGGCAGCCAGGGAGGCGCCGCGTGCTGCCCTCGCGCCCACAGGCACCGCCCCCGCAGCTCCCATTGGTCACGGTTTCCGGCCAATGGGAACTGCAGGGCCAGCACTCGGGGCCGGGGCAGTGCATGCAGCCTCCCTGCAGGACCTGGCAGCTGCTTCTGGGAGCCCCAGGCCCCCACTGCGCCGCTGACCGGACTTTTAACGGCCCGGTTAGAGCTGTTATCCTGTGAGACGCTGTAAGAACTGCAGCATCGGAGCAGACAAATCGACCCTCTAGCTTGGTGGCCCGGCTCCACCAGAGGCCAAGGCCGGTGTGCGTGTAATTTCTTTCTCACCTGGCCACCACTGCATGCCCTGCAGCTGAGGTCGATGGGCCGTGTACGGTAACCTCCCAGCTGACCAACCGCAGAGACTAGTCCTGAGGGGTGAGCTGGTACTGGGGCCTGACAAAGCATTCTGGGACTTGTAGTCCACGAGGACTGGCGGGTGTTGTAGACTCAGCAGCAGTGCATGCTGGGAAGGAATGCCCAGGGAATATAAGAAGCAGCCTTCTCGGGAAACAGAGACTTTCCCCCTCAACATACCCCTTTACAATCCCTGCCCCATTCTTTGCAGGCACCTGGCTATTAAAAACCAATGGTACATAACCCTGCAATGTTATGTGGCTCAAAACTTTAGTGAGGCTGGGTCTTAAACACCAGGAGCCTGCACCAGGCCAGTCAAACTGGTTTCACTCTGATTCTGGGAAGAGTGGGGGCTCATTTCTGTGTAAATTAACCCTGCTCCCAACTGACTTCAGCCAAATCAGAGCGTGCCCACGGCTCAGGTTTCAGTTCCTACCCATGGTTAAAGCTGGGCCGAGCGGAGTGCCCCCACAGCCTTGTGCAGGGCCAGATTTCCAAAAGTGCTCCGCTCCCATTGTTCTCAGTGGGGGAGGGAGGAGGATTCGCCATTGTTTTCTGTGCCGATCCATTGTTCTCAATAGTAGTGTGTGTGTGATACTCCATTGTTCTCAGTGGGGGAGCGGGTGTCTCTGTTCTCAGTGGGGTTGGCAGGGTGCTGACACATTTGAAATTCTAGCTTTTGGGGCCAGATCCAAAGCAGGCTGGAGGTGATGGGAAGCCTCTCATTGACGTGGGCTTTGGACCAGAGCCACATCCCTGTGCTGTGGGGGGGTCAGATAGATCAGACCATATCCCAGAGAGGGTGTGTGTGTGTGTGAGACAGATGGCTCAGACCCATACACCAGTGCAAGGGAGTGGAATTATATGGATCAGACCCATACCCCAGTGGAGGGAGTGAGATGGATGAGACCTGTACCCCAGTGGGGGGGTGGGTGAGTGAGATGAATCAGACCCATAGCCCAGTGGCGGGAGTGAGATGGATAATGGGGGGGGAATGAGATGGATCAAACCCATACCCCGGGGGGGGAAGCGTGAGATGGATCAGACCCATAGCCCAGTGGGGGGAGTGAGATGGATCAGACCCGTACCCCAATGGGGCAGGGGAATGAGATGGATCAGACGCGTACCCCAGTGGGGGGGGGGGAATGAGATGGATCAGACCTGTACCCCAGTGGAAAATTTCCCCCCTCCCCCAGCACTCATCCTGATGATCAGACTCAGCCTGAACACTGGAGCTCTCTGCCGGCGCCACTCCTTTGTTGTTTTCTTAACGCTCTGGTACAAAGCTCATTTGTGGGTAATTGACCTTATCCACCCACACCCAAAAAACGACCCAACATTTGGGGCATGACGAGATTATATAATTCAGGCATCAACGCGGGCTGTGTCTGTCCCGACACCGCATGTACATGGCTGCAGCACCATTGGCTTGTGCACAGTTCGCTCTCCTACACGGTAGGATAAATTTGACTTCTCTTATGCGAAGTTACCTTGAAATATATATATATATATTTATAGCTATGTACAGTATTTATATATATATTCCACAAGGCTCGTAGGGCCATCTGTCTGAGGCTTCCCAGCCCTCAAGTTGCTGGCCGGGTTGGGAGCGCTCTGATCTTCCCCCCAAAATTGATTTTTGTCCCACGACGGGCTGTCCCAGGCTGATGCTTTCACCTGCCCCGGAGGGCTCTGAAATCTGCCTGGCCGCGGTGACGCCGCTGGGTGTCAAACCTCTGGCTCCAGCACGGGCCGATGCTACAACGGGGCCTTTGCATTTAAATTAGTTTCGTCTAATAAATAAAACCAATTAGCGGCAGGTTACCGGGGGCTTAAATGGAGCTGGGGGGAGGCAGGACGAGGCAGAAACTGAGGCGTGATCCCCTTTTCTTCCCGCCTTGGCTGGTTCTTGGCGTCGTTTGGAAGCAAAATGGAGCTGCGGCGTGGCGGGCTGGCCCGGCTTCCGTTCCCTCGGGCCCTGCCTCTCCGCAGATCGTAACAGGCCGAGTGGGAAAGGAGGCGGCTGGTTGACAGCGTGGCCCCCACAGCTTTTTTGGGGGGGGGGGGGGGGGGGGGGGCGGGTGGGCGGGGGCCCCCCCACTGTTTTGGGGGGGGGGGGGTGGATGTGGTGGCAGAGGGACATGTTCTCCGCCCGCCCCATGGTCTTGAAGCTTGGGCGTTAGGAGGGGACGTGTGCTGGATGCATGTTAAAAAAAAAGGCTCTTTTAGATGCAAAACTACAAATCCAGGGGGCAGAGGGCGGGGCCTTTCGCCCGGCCGCTTCCGATTGTTCTCCCCTCCCCCACCCCGGAGCCGCGGACGGGGGCTCAGGGGGCGCCGGCAAGCAGTGCCCCCCCCCCCCCCAGCTCATGCTGGCGGGGTCAGTACTTGAACTGGGCGGCCGGCTTGATGGGGGACGAGGGCATGAAGAGCAGCTTGGGGGGCACGTCGGGCTTCATGGAGGCCGATCTCTTGATGCCGCCGGGCCTGGGCAGCGAGCTCTGGAAGACGCCGTGCCCTTCGAGGGGCACCTGGGTGCCCGTGGAGTGCATGCGGGTCAGGAGCGCGGGGGGCGGGTGCTGTCGGACTGCCTGGCTCAGGCTGTGCTGCCGGGAGATAAGCCCCCCGCCCATCGCTAGGTTCATCAGCTTCTGCGCCGAGCACAGCGAGTGCCTCTGCGACGGGTGCCTGGGCGGCGGCTGTTTCTCCAGGCAGGACTGCGGCGTGACGTCGGGGGGAACGTCCAGCCTCCGGGGCAAGCTGTCCCTGGGGAGGGTGGAGGAGCTGTAATAGGGGGCGCTCTCGGTGTCCGGGATCTTGGGCTGCACCCTGTTGGCGAAGGACATGGCCGCGTGGGGGCTGATGGCCGGCTGATGGCTCAGCAGTTTCTTCGGGGAGCCGCTAGCTTCGTGGAGGTGTTTCAGCAGCTCCTCCAACGTCGTCACCTCCACCCCTTTCGGCAGGTAGCACTGGGAATGGCGCACCAGCACCCGCTCCGCGTTGGGGATCTTCTTTTCATCCGGGTAGCCGGCCAGTGACGGGTCGTAGCCCTGGAGGTTGCTAGGCAGCACCATGGCGCCGGGGAACTGGAAGACCTGGGTGCCGGAGACGGGGCCGGGGAACAGGTGGCCCTTGCCCTGCGACTCCTTGGCGTTGTTGCAGTTCTGGTTCTTCTCCCATTGGTTCCTGATGGCCTTCATGTTCTTCATGGGCAGCTCCGGGGTGGACTCAGGCGTGGGCAAACCGGACAGCTCCGGGTGCTCCTTCACGCCGGCCTTGGCTGTTCCGTTGTGCGGCTCCTTCTCACTGGGCAGCAGCGTGGTGTACAGTTTCGGAGAGGAGGCTTCTGTCAGCCCATCCTTGGACGGGTTGTCCAGCAGCCCGTTCATCTTAGCCAAGCTCCGCAGGGACAGGGGTCGCTGGATCGTGTTCTCAGGGTCCTTGCTGACGTGCTTGGTCTTCTGGAACACGTGGCTGCAGTAGCAGGAGACGAACAAACCGGAAAAGAAGGCCCCAAGGACGAATGACACAAAGACGCAGCCGATGAGGAAGGTGAAATGGACGCTCTTGGAGCCGTCTTGGCCTTCGGATTCCTGCCGCACGCCTAGAAACACAACACACGCACACAAAGAGAGAGTTAGACGGGAGGTTAATCCATCAACATCCTCAAGAGTCTCAGAAGAATTGGCTGGGGCAGGAATGTCCTTTTCGTGGGCTGGAACTGAGTAAAATACCCTTCCCAGGTCGGGACCCATTTTGGAGAGGCCGGAGACGTTAGCTCACGGCGTCTTTTCTCTCTTGTTTTCTGTTCAGAATGAAATAGGGACAAGCCAAGGAAATCCCCGAATTTGTGCTCCTGTTGAATAATCTCTGGGACTGCAGAAAGGGGCAATGACATGAGATGGGGAATGGAATTGGATGGCCAACATGGAGTCAATGAAGGTGCAACATGGAAGATTCCTGCCTGAAATAACCCCTTTGATTTTGCCCAGGGGTGAAATCTGGCCCAGTGGCTGCTGTCCTGCATGGAAAGCTATGCCAGCTCTTCGGAGCCAGTGCGAAACTCCAAGGATGCCCGGGGTGGGGGAGGGAGCGGGTTATTATTTCTAGCGATGGGCAAGCGAAGAAGGCCACCCGAAGGCCTCATTTGGGAGCAACTTTTTTAAAGTCAACGGAGTCACAGGGATGTAATGAAGAGGAGATTCAGGCTGTGGGTTCAGATGAGCATCTGAAGGCCACAGATTCAGAGGTGTTAAGAGCAGAAGGGACCATTAGATCATGCAGCTGGGCCTCCCGTATGGCCACAGGCCAGATAATTTCACCCAGTTCCCCCTGGATTCGCCAAAACCTTGCGCTCGACTAAAGTTTCGGCTGTTGAGCCCCGTCTTGGATGTTGCTTTGAACTTTGTGCTCACAAACAAGATGGATGGAAATCTTGGGGGAACATGGGGGATGCTGAACAGTCCCTGCCTCTGGTGGGGACAGAAATACTGCCGAGAGAAGATGAAAAACAGCAGTGGGGGGAGGCCTGAAGGACCCACGTGGCTTCTGCTGGAGGTTGGGGTGATGGGTCCTCACCAGTTTACCCAGTTAGGGGCGGCAACGTGTCAGCTTCCTGTGGGAAAACCCCTTGAAATTCAATCATCCCGTTAGCCGGGCCGCTGCAGCTGTTTCTGCTCCTTTATTCTTTTCCTCCCCTTTGCAAGCCGCTGAGGCCTTATTCTAATGGCACCGTACGGGGGGGAGCTGATTAATTTCAAAGCTGCGGGCTCCAAACAGGGACTGGAGCAGGATTAATTTCAAAGCTGCGGGCTCCAAACAGGGACTGGAGCAGCCGAGCCCAAGGCAGCCAGAAGGCAGGCGGCTGCGGAGAGCAACGAGTGGCCGAAAGCGCAGAGTGGCAGGGAAAGCAATCAGCCTGCCTGATGGCTAATTGTGAAAGCTGGCAGCAGAGAGAGAGAGAGAGAGACAAAGAGCAGACAGAGGAATGGAAAACTAGAGAAAAAAGAGAGCAGGAAACATGGACACGGAGAGAGAGGGAAAGGACCCTCCCCCACCCCACTCCCACTGGCTATCAGGCCAACAAGGGGCACTGAGGAGGGGGTCACCATTGGGCCCCAAGAAAGACATGGAGATAAGAGAAAAGAGGCAAGGAGATTAGGGGACAGAAAAAGAGAGAGAAAAGAGATTAGCTAGCCAGCTAGAGGGGGTGTGTGGGGATAGATAGATAGATTAGGGTTACCATATGTGGAGTGTCCCAAAAGAGGACACTCCACGGGGTCCCGGCCCCGCCCCCC